ATCCATAGATTTGGTCTTTCCAAGATGTCCCAGAGACCTTGCATGTTATGTTGGTATGTATTAAAATGTATTGTTTTCCTTGACTTGCACCAGCTCCTCTAACTTGTCTTCAGGACCTGGTGTTGTGGTCAACTTTATTCTGACAAAAAAGTTTGCTTTCAATCAGAGGGACAGCCAAAATTAACAATAGAGGTTTTGGAGCACTGAGGATAGATAGAGAGACAGAAAGTAGTAGTTTGGTGCATAGACAAGAAATATGGGTCAATTTTAGTGTAAGAGTTAGTTAGTAATAAGCTTTACCTATCACTTTCAGCCAAGCATTTATACTTTATCTTAAACTTCCCAATCAATTATGTTGGAACATGCAGTTGGGACAGGAAAGTTCTGCCCCCCCCCACGTATGTATGTATATGTATATATATTACCATTCCAAAACGGAGGCAAGGGAGAATAGTGAGGAAATACTGGAACAATCCAAGACCAAACACCAGTTAGGAAAACTCCAAACTCTGCATCCCCATGTCTGACGTCAAAATGCTCTTCAGATTTTCAACTCCCTTCTGCTCTCTTGACTGCATCACACACTTCTTTCTCTCAGGCTGGCTCTACTCCCTGTTAGCAGCTTTCCTCCGCAGGAATCCCACGACTCCGGCATTTCCAATATTTTGGGTTCTCCAGGACACTCCAGACTTCACATTCACAGCATCTTTACATAATGGCCTCAGGTCCTCATGCAAGGACGCTGCCACGTGCCTGGTCTCAGAGGCTTTCCTTATTTGCAAAGCAAGATTCCGTAGCCCTCTCTTGTATCCTTGACTCTAAAGCCAGAACCACATGACCGAAACTGCCATGTTCTGCTACTCACTGGGACTGGACCATGGCCCTCTCATTCAGTTACCTCCTCACCAGCTTTCTGTTTTCCATGGTTTCCTTTACTGCCTAAGCTTGGCTATCCTGACACTCCATCTGTAGAGCAGGCTGACCTCAAACTCAGAGATCTGCCAGCCTTTGCCTTCTGAGTAATGGGATTAAAGGTGTTCACTGCCAAACCTGGATCTAAACTGTTCTTTGATTCCTTTTCACAAATTGGAAGTTTAGCTGGGTAGGTTCTTGCCCTGAGGCCACCATTCCCTTTATTTGATTTCTTAATCTGTTTGCATCTCTTTGAACACAGTTTAGATCCATTCCACTTCCTGGTGTCCCTTTTCTCTTCAATCTGTACATTTTGTAGTTTTACTTGCTTAGTGAACCCCTTTTCATTATTAATCAACAGGAGTAACCACACAGCAGAATCTATACTAGGCTGGTTTGAGATCTCCTCTGCAATGCAATTAATCCAAAACTTTAGCCTCTGGCAGATTTTTTTTTTTAGACAAGGGCAAAAAGCAGCCACATTCTTCAGCAAAATATCACAAGAATGATATCTAGGCAACATACTAAAATTCTCTTCTGAAACATTTTGATCCAGTCCCCCCCCCACACACACAGTTCAAATCACCCTTGATACCACTGCCTTCTGTGCTCCTACTTGTATGAGATTAAGCCTCGCTTAAAGCATTCAACTGTTTTTCTAATCCAAACTCCCAAAGTCTACATTTCTCCAAAGGAAAACATGGTCAGGTCTATCAAAACAATACCCCAGTCCCTGGTACAAACTTCGGTCTTAGGGTTCCTGTAATGGTCTTCTCTGTCCCTTTAAGAGACAAGCAATGCCAATTCCCTCCCCCATCTGCTTCCAGCCTGAGTCCCTTCTCTTTTTCTTCTCTCCCCAAAAGAGGTAGCTTCTGCCTTGCTCCATTCTCCCTACTTTTCCCATTCTCCCTTCTCTGTTTTTCTCTCTGTCTCTCTGCTCTTCCCCCTTTCTCCTTACCCCCATCCTCTTCCCTTCCATAGCCCACTAAATAAATATCCAACCTCACTCTGCATGGTGTACCTATCCATGTCTCTGTCTCTCACCCACCACGTCTCTCTTACTCCGGACCAGATGCCTTTGGAGACCTGCGGCATGGTCTCATGGCATGCCCATCTGTCTGTTTCTTCTTGTGGGACTGGCTGCCCCATTGAAGTCTCTCACCCACCACACAGCTCCATCCCTGCCTGGGACTCATGGCCCACTGCAGCCACTAGGGGGAACTGCGCCATCCCTGCCTGGGACAGGCTGCTCTCAGGCTGTCCACTGCCTGCTGCTGCTCAGGGAACCTGCAGGACCTGCAGTGTGGCCTTGGGACCCTGCCCGCTGCAGCCACTAGGGGATCTGCAGCATTTTTTACTTAATCCATTATAGTTCCTATTGCTGTGAAGAGACACCATGACCTCACCAACTCTTATAAAAGAAAACATTTAATGGGCTGGCTTACAGTTTCAAAGGTTTATTATTATGGCAGAACATGGTGCAAGAGAAGGATCTAAGAGGTCTACATTTCGTTCTATAATTGGTAGAAGCAACTATGTCCCACACTGGGCATAACTTGGGTACATATGACCTCAAAGCTTGCTCCCAAGGTGACATATTTCCTCCAAAAAGGCCACACCTCCTAATAGTGCCACTCCCTATAGGCCAAGCATTCACGCATACAGTCTATGGGGGCACTCCTGTTCAAACCACCTCACGTACCTCAAGATCCTGGGGGGGGGGCGGAAGCCATATACAAAATCAGTAAGTGGAAAGTATTAATGAAACACCCCAAAACAACGAAATCAGTAATACAAAGAATCAGTGCAACAAAGAGTTGATTCTTTGAAAAGATAAAATCAACAGTCTTAGCCAAACTTGTAAGAAAAAGGGCCAAATGAATAAAAGTTAGAGACCAAAAGGAGATGTTACAACTGATACCAATAAAAAATTAGGGAATGCTTTGTAAAATCATGCTAAATTAAATAAGCCAGGGCTTTGCCCACCCACGCCTTCACTGGACCCCTACAAGGCTTTTGGTGAAGTGCCAGGCTTGGCTGATCCCTCACATAACCACATCAGCTCCTAGGACGTGGGAACGTGGCTCTTGCAGAGGATCTTGGGCCTGGTGGATCCCGCAGGACTGAGTGTGGCTCAACCAACCCATGCCTCGTGATGGAAACAAAGAGGGGCAGTGCCAACGCCAGATGATAGCAGCCACCCTGCCACCCTTACCCCAGACCCTTCTGAAATGCTGGCCGCTTGGGAAACTGACCCTGGAGCACTTCTCCTGGGGCCTTAAAGTATTCCTAATAATATTTGTACTGTAGGAGCCAGCCATGATGAGCTAAATAGAAACAGACTAACCAAAAGAAGTTCTTTACATCCAACCATTATCACCTGCCAGTGTAGGACTCAGCCATTGATAAGTTTAATGGAGGCCTGAGTCTCAGTAGTTTACCCTGAGGTTGCAGGAAGGACCACAAACTGAGACTGCCCAGGCACCACCCAGAAACAGACCAACCAAAGGAAATGCCTAAAGTTCCAACCATTGTAGATAGGATCGCCTCCTAGCACACTCACCAGAACACCCCTAGACAAATGTCAGCCAACCAGGGGTCCTGAATCTTAGAAATCACGCACCCCTACCTTTACTACTATAAAAACCCAACTCTAATTGAGCTCGGGGTTCTCTGATTATTCCAATACGTTGGACATGTGGAGAGACCGAGCTTGCAAACTTGCATAAAATAAAGGCTCTTTGCTTTTACATAGGGGATTTGGTCTCTTTGTTGGTTTTTGGGGAACTTGGTGGATGTGGACATAACAGTACTATTGGGGGAGGAGGCTGATCACACAATTGAAATTACTTGGCACAAGAGAGAAGGAAGCACAAAACATGCAACAAAACCACTTAGGAGTTTATTAGAGGAGATGTGTAAGGCCTGGTAAAGTCTGTGTGCAGAAAGAGAGGGCTGAAGATGGTGCGTCCAGCTTTTACATGCTGGCTAGTGCATGCACACAGGGGGGTGATGTAGCTACGTCATAAGCAGATGACAGAGCTCATGCATGCCTGCAAGGGCTTACATAGCTGTGTCATAGTAGGTGATGCAACCATGCTGCACACGGGTCACACAGGGCCTTTTAAGGTCCCCCAGGTGGCTAAGTATTCTGTCTGACGGCTTGTCTGCACATGTGTGGCCCTGGAAACCAGAAGTGCCAGCCATGCTGGTTGGCTAGAATGATAACAACTGTTGGCCAAAAAGACCCAAAATGGATAAAATAGTGGAACCAGGCATATTCTGGCAAACTTGTGTGTAACCAAATAGCCATGTTTAACCTTACCAGAGGGAGTAATCAAAGGTGTTCGGTGTTAAACTACGTTCCTCTAAGATGTTTCCTATGATGTTGAAATCAACACTGAGCAGAAGGTGGTCATTTTTTTGTGGATGGTCTTTACAGAGAGTATTCAAGCTTAAATGAGGTCATTGGGTTTTGACCAAAAGGGGAGAGGGGTGTCTTAAGACATGAAGACAGAGAAGGAGACAATTTAAAGACATTAGGAGAAAAGACTACCTGGGATTACCGGGCACGAGCAAGAACAGATCAGGAGACACACAAGGAAACCCACTTTAAGAGTTTATTAAGCGAGAAAAACACACGTATGCAGGTCTGAGTAAGTTCGTGCACGAAGAGAGCGTGGACGGGGGCGCGTCCAGCTCGGCGTCCAGACTGTGTAGAGGGATGCACAGTGGGAAGCGTAGATCACGTGACCATGCTGCCTGTAGGTCACATAGGGCTTGGGTGGCTATGTAATTTGCCTGAGCGCTTGATGGCGCCTGCACAGCCCTGGAACCCGGAAGTGCCAAAGCACTGGGTGATGGTAACGATAACACTACCAAGTGTCAGGAATGGCCCTTCTACACAAGTGCTTCCTTCATAAAGCATACTGTTTTACAGCGCACAGGAAGTGCGTTCCAAGTGCCGCTGGGGGGTGGGGTGGGAGGGAGTGAAGGTTGAAGAAAGACTACATTTCCCAGAAGGCAGAGCCGCGGTCTGGGAAATGACGCACTGAGTAATGGGCGTTTCTGGCAACCGCAGCGGCGGGACTTCCGATGTTTGGTCCCTTGGTTCCCGTCCCGCCTCCGTAGCGGTTCACTGCTTTGGGCAGAAGCGGGCTCCATTGAATTGAGAAGAGCGCAGGAGAAGGAGCCCGAAGACAGAGGATCCACTTCTACATTCCGCACGGAGCGCGTCCTCCTTCGCGGCGGAATAGCACTCCCCGCCGCACGCTTTTCGGGTCCTCAGTACAAGTGGTCCCCATGGCGACGCCCGCACAGGTGAGTGAGGTGCCCTGCTCTCGGGCCATCTGCTTGGGTGGGTACTTGATCCTGGAACTTCCGACCCTTCTCGCGTTAGTGCTCTGGATCTGGAAGCAGCGGGGGTGCTCAGGAGGCTCCCGTGTCGGGCTCTAGTCTTGAGCCTTGCTCTTCCGCGCCCTTGGCGTCCGTCTCCTGGGTCTGTAATGGAATGTCCGTAATAATTCCGTCCTGAGAGAACTGGAGCCAGTACGCGTGTGGGGTTGGGTCTTGTACTCAGCAGGACCAGGCAGCATCACTCTGTGGGTGTGGCTTCGGGAGCATCCGTGTTGCCGGCAAGGTGGTCTGCTGGCAGGCAAAGAGACTGGGTTTATCTTCATAGCGAATTTGGCTTGCCCCCTAACAGCACTGAATCCGTACTGCAAAGGAAATCCGTTAAAATATTCGTTAATGACGGTGCTTTGGGGATTCACATGCCCAGCGGACCCACAGTTATTTTCCAGCATGCCACACTGTTCTCTGTCAGCATGGTTTCTTGGTGTCTCCATCAGGGATTATTACATAAGAAATATAGTCCTTCTCATCACTGTCAGTCAGTCATTGTCCCACAGCCCCACAGATAGGGGGACCAGCTCAGCAGGGTTGAGTGAGATGTCTTCACAGTCTAGCAAGCAGGGCCCACCAGGATGGGACCCAAAAGGGTCCTCTCCCTCTCCCCCTCCCCTTCTGAGTGTGTGTGTGTGTGTGTGTGTGTGTGTGTGTGTGTGTATGAATAAGTGATGCCTTAGGCTGATGTCTGGCATCAGCTGCTCTACACCTGATCTCTTGAGGCCGTGTCTACCAGTTGGATACGGAGCTGACTTTCCGGCTCATCAAGCTAGCCATCTTGCTCTGGAGATCCTTCGCCACCCGGCATATCCATGGGCGCTGGAATCTGAAATCCTGTCTTTATGCCACAAACACTTCCCCACAGCCATCTTCCCAGCCTGTTGGAACACGGCCCAAGAATGGAGTCATGCGAAGAGGATTCTGAGTGTTCGCGAAGAAACTCCAAGAAGACAAGATCTTGTGACCTCAGTTTGTTCAAAACACAGACTTGTCCTAGGACTGTGTTTTTGTGCTTCTTCCAGGTGCAGTGGATAGGAGAGTTTACTTCAGCTGTTATTCATTAGCCTCTGTGGAAAACATGTTTTTGCTGTGTGCAGCTTGTCCTTGGAATTATACACATTACTCAGGTGACGCTTCTTAACCCTCGGGGTAAAAATTGTCTGATGCTCTGAATAAAGTTGGCTGTCACGTGAGTTTTAGGCCCTGCTCTCCCAGGTCTACGCCACCAACTAGAGCAATAAACACATGCCTATGCCCTGGCTTCAGGTCCTTTTTTTTTTTTTTTTTTTTTTTTTTATAGGGTTTTTTTGTATGTAGCCTGACTTCCTGGTTACTAGTCTATGCTGGGCAGACCAGTGAGGTTCAGCAGCTGAGGTGGTGATCATTGTTTGAATTACAGTGTCCTCATTCCCTCCCTAAGCCCGTGGTGATATTTTGTTTATTTTGTTTGTGCTTTAACAAACAAAGCTTTCCTGAAGATGAGTGCGGAGCTAGCCACACTAGATAGCCATAGAGGCCAGGCAGTGATGGCACACGCCTTTAATCCCAGCACGAGAGAGAGAGAGAGAGAGAGAGAGAGAGAGAGAGAGAGAGAGAGAGAGAGAGAGAGATATCTCTGTGAATTCAAGGCCACCCTGGGCTAAACGAGGCTGAATCAGTCTAAAAGAGAAACAGAGCTAAGTGGTGGTGGTTCACACCTTTAATCCCAGCACTACAGAGTTGGAGACCGGAAGTGATATGGCTGGGATGGCTGGGCAGAGAGAGGAATACAAGGCTGGAGGAGTCAGGATCTCAGATTTCAGTCTGAGGTTTTATAGAGATGACATTTAGTCTGGGGACTTGTAGAGACGGGATACCCCAGTCTGAGGATTTCATAGAGGTAAGAACTAGTGACTGGCTGCTCTGCTTCTCTGATCTGTCAGCTTTTACCCCCTAATATCTGACTCTGGGTTTTTATTATTAAGACCAATTAGAATCAGTGCTACATTTGGTGACTAACATGGGGCTTGAACCCACGACCATTAGATTAAGAGTCTTATGCTCTACTGACTGAGCTAGCCAGGCTGGGCTCTTCTAACATCACAGGTCCTTAAGAGAAGATCTGGGCCAGGTCCTTAAGAGAAGGTCTGCAGTCAGACTTTGTTCCTGCATTCTTGCCCAGAACCACGGAACAGGGTCCAGTTTTGCATGTGGTCTACACAGCCACCCAACTACCTCTGTTTATATTCCCAGGCCTTGGTTTCTTTTGAAGATGTGGTCGTAACCTTCACTGTGGAGGAATGGGGACAGCTGGACCTGGCTCAGAGAGCACTGTACCAGGAGGTGATGATGGAGACCTGTGGGCTTCTGGTCTCCCTGGGTAAGGACCCATTTCTCTTCTGGGTGCAGAACTTAAGGCTGCCTTCATTGCACCCTATATAGGCATTGCTGGTTGAGGTCACCACTTATGTTCCTGCAGCCTCAGCTTACTGTGATATGACAGCTTCCTGCTCAGTTTCTCAGTGTCTACAGCAGGGATCATACTGTCAGTCAGGTAGTCAGATGTCATTGTTCCACGTCCCCACATAAGGGCTGAGTGAGGTGGCCTCACAGCCCAGCCAGCAGGGCCCACCAGGATGGGGCTCTCTAGGAGGTTGATCCCGCTATGATGCAGACAAATGAGAGGCCAAGGTGCAAGGATCGAAAGCTCAAGGGCAGCTTGGGGACAGATAATAAGGTGTTTTGTTCCCCATGCTGCTGGTGTCTCACAGCAGCACAGCCTTAGCCAAGTGACTTCTTTAGCTCCTGCCACCTCCTAAGGCCTGTGCCAAGTAGCAACTTAGTGTTGAGTCCTCTGCTCTTGTTGGCTAGCCTCTGCAGAAAAGAAATCACCTCGCAGGCCCAACCTTGAGTGGGACTTATGAGCTTGCTGACCTCATTATCCAGATGGTTTCATGTTTAGTGCAGCCCTTTAGTAACACCTGCAAAGCAAGTGAGCCAATATCCAGAGTGCCTAGAGCAGAACGTGGGGCACCTCAGGGCTGCAGTAGTCTACATAACAGACAGACTCACGTGTCTTCCACGGAAGCCACTTTACCTTCAGTGTGAAGTTGGAACTGAGGGGAAGCCCAAGTCTCCCTTCCCCCAGATACTCAAATGGTTTGGGGTTCTGCCAGCCTTGTGTCCACAGTGGACTAAACCTGTTGGTTTGTGCATTAGTGTTGGGCTTGTTCCAGGACTAGCATTCTGGATGTGGGAACCAGACAAGCAGAGTCCCCGAGAGCAGGGAGCTCAATGAAGGGAGGTTCAGTGCTCTGCCCCCACCAAGCTCAGTGCCAGGCATGTGGCAGCTGTCAGTGAGCCTTTGCCCAGCAAATCCTGACTCTTTTGTCTGCCATGTGGGATTTTCAGTGATTTTCCTATGGCTGCCTCAGCCTGATTTCTGTCCATAAGCCTTCGTGTTTGACTGAAAGTAAAGGAGTTTTGCCATACTAGATTCATCCTGCAAGCCGGGCGTGTGATTCCATCTGCGTAGACGCCAGAGGTGTGGTTGGCTCCTGCTAGACAGCAGCCAGCGCCGTTCTCCTATCACCTTCCTCCTGCTCTAAGTCCTCAGGCTGTCCCTGGTAGGGATGCAGGATGATGCAGCAGCTGGAGCAGTAGGCCTGCCTCAAACAGCTGTCGGTAGACGCCCGTCCTCAGTTCGAGGGTCCCCTGTTTCTCAGTCATCCTTAAACACCACAGTTACTTGGGAGCTCTGAAACCCACATGCTGGGTGCTTATGGCCAGAAATGTACTCTGCTTTCATTTGGGTTTGAAACAGGCACTGCTAGGGAACTGTGCTCTCCAAGCAGGTCGGATGCTTCCTACTCAAACTGACAGAGAATGCCTTCCAAGGCCAGACCTCCCCCGCCCCCAGTCCGGCTGTGGTTTCCTGGCAATGTGCCAATACATGCACACTGTAAACATGAGGTTGTAATTCTGTCCTTACCTATAAATGCTGTTTTCTGTATTTCTCATGCCAGGGTATCATGTTCCTATGCCAGAGCTGATCTACCTCCAGGAGCATCGGCAGGGAGTATGGACAGTGAAGAGAGGTCTCTTCCAAAGCTCCTGCACAGGTAGGCAGCTGAGAGTGGCCGTGGGCACCAAGGGGCAGCTGTGCTGAGATTCCTCAGCCTGGTAGATCTCAACTGCTCAGAACATGGAGCCCTCACCTCTGGTCCCCTGACGTCATACCCCACCCTACACTCTGCCCTTACTCAGACAACTTAGCTGTGTGAATAGTGCTCCAGACATGGCTATGCAGGTGTCTACCTCTGTGCTGTGTGGACTTAGACAACTTTGGGTAAAGCCAGGAGTGGTGTAGCTGGATCATATGTCAATCCTGTTCTTATTGGTTTTGAGAAACCTCTGGTATGATTTCCATCTGGACCAGCAGTGTGTTGACTTGCTAGTTGATAGCTATTCTGGGGAGGGGAGAGAGAATTAATATTGCATTTGTAGATGAATTTTGGGAGAGTTAGCATTGTATTTTTAACTTCTTTTCCTATAGATCCTTACTGTTGTTCCTAATGTTGATTTGCCTGTGTTATGTCACTGATCTTATGTAAGTGCTATTGGCTTTGCGTGTGTTCTGTTCCCTTAGTCCTTACTCATGGCAGCAGACCCAGTATGTCTGAGCTTCTCACCCTCCTTCACTCCTGCACGTCCAGTATCCTGACAATGTGTGTTCTCTGTCCCTACCTGTCTCCTTATTTCCACAGTTCTCGCCTTCTTCACCTTTTGCTTGGTATTCAGGATTCTGTGAAACCTTTGTACTCTGTTCTCACTACAGTGTCTGTCTCCCCGACCACACCCCTCATTTCTTCTGCTTGGTAACTCTTACTCTTCCTGAGAAATAGGAAGACATACCAGTGTTTCTGCATATCCTCTGCTGATCTCTTTTGGCCTTCCATCCAGGCCAAATTAGGCCCAACTTCTCTCTTGTTTTAGCATCACATACTTCCTTACACACACTGACTGCACACATTATACCCGTTGCTCTGCCCGCCACCCCTATTCTGGAGTTTGGAGTGACCTCTCTGCTCTTGGTTCTCTCTCCCCATCCATCCCACCTTTCCCTCTTCTGTTTCCACTGAAAGATGTTAAGAGTCCAACCATGAGTGAATGAAAAAGAACATGCAAACATGGTTTTAGGACAGACATGAATGCAGTAGTAGCCTTCAGAGGCAATATTTCATCTTCTGCTTCATTGGTGCTTGATTCTGTTACTAGTAAACAGATACCTGTTCTTGTTGGATTTCCTTTAGGTGAAGAAGCAAAGTCCACTGACTCCTCAAAACCCACTGCTTCTCCACAGACTTTCTATTTCCAAGAACAACTGTCACAGAGATCCTCAGAGGACTTCAAGGTAGGGCAGACCAAGGATAAAGAAACATGGTCAGAAATGCCAGGTGGGACCACAGGGACAACTGATTCTTCCAAGGAGACATGCTCTGGAGAGCTGGCTTATAATCATGAGGCTTTGGAGACAGATGATGGTCTCTGTTTACAAGTCTTACAGGAGCAAGCTACTCCACGAGATTCTTACCATGAACATGATTCTCAAGGACCAGAAAAAGAGCCTGTGGTTGATGTAGGGAGCCTTTATCAGTGTAAAGACTGTGGGAAAGTGTTTAGGAACAATCGGACCTTAGTATGGCATCAGCAGATTCATGTTGGAGCAAAGCCTTATGAATGCAGTGAGTGCGGGAAAATGTGTCGTTCCACAGCTGGCTTTGTTCAGCATATGAGGATTCACGCTGGGGAGAAGCTACATCAGTGCATCGAGTGCGGGAAGGCCTTCAAGCGCAGTTCTCACCTCACTGAGCACCAGCGGCTGCACACTGGAGACAAACCTTATGAGTGCACCCAATGTGGGAAGACCTTCTCCCATCGCTCCACTTTCCTCCAGCACAAGGAGACGCACTCTGCAGAGAAGCCTTTCCTGTGCAAAGAATGTGGGAAAGCTTTTTGCTACAGCTCTTCGTTTGTTCAGCATATGAAGATTCACACCGGAAAGAAGCTGTACGAGTGCGGCCAGTGCGGGAAGTCCTTTATTCACTCCTCCACATTGGTGAAACACAAGAGGACCCATACTGGAGAGAAGCCCTATGCGTGCAAGGACTGTGGCAAAACCTTCACTCACCACTCCACGTTTCTCCACCACAGCATGACCCACACCGGGGAAAAGCCCTTTGTGTGCAAAGAATGTGGGAAAGCTTTTTGTGTCAGCTCATCCTTCATGCAGCACATGAGGATCCACACTGGAGAGAAGCCATACGAGTGCAGTGAGTGTGGAAAGGCCTTTACCCAGAGCTCCACCTTTATCAGGCATAAGAGGACCCACACTGGAGTGAAACCATTTGAGTGCAAAGACTGTGGAAGGGCCTTTTGTGACAACTCTTCTCTGATTCAACACACGAGGCTTCACACTGGCGAGAAGCCCTATGAATGCGATGAATGTGGCAAGACCTTTACCCACCACTCGGTTTTCATCCGACACACCAGAACCCACAGTGGAGTAAAACCCTTGGAATGCAAAGAATGTGCGAAAGCCTTTTACTATAGCTCCTCCTTCATCCGACACATACGGATCCACACTGGAGAGAAGCCTTATGTTTGCAGAGAATGTGGGAAAGCCTTCACTCAACCTGAAAATTTTCTCCGGCAAAGTAGGATCCAAACTGGAGAGAAACCCTTCGAATGCACAGTGTGTGAGAAGGCTTTCTATGACAACTTTTCCTTGATTAGGCACATGAGAACTCACACTGGAGAGAAGCCCTTTGAGTGCAGTGAATGTGGGAAGACCTTCAGCCATAATTCATCCTTTATTCAACACCAAAAGATTCATACCAGGGTTTAAAAGATAGGGGCAGTGTTTCCCTCCATCCATTTGAACAAGCACATGCTAGAAAAATACTTTTCAATGTCGGTATCAGGGAAAATCCTATGGCCAGAGAAATAATTTAGTTTCTGGAAAATTATACTGAAGAGACACTTGATTGTCATTCCTATAACAAGTTCTTGTCACAGTTCATCACTTGCCATCTAAAGAATCATATATTAAAAAACAAGCCAGCCTAAGCTCTGCACAGTATCCGAGAATTATCTGGCGTAAAACCCAGTTTTGCTAGCATTTGGTTAAATGCCATTTACTTATTCATCAAATCTAACGAGTATTTTAAAGCAACAAGGAACAATAGAGGGGGAGATAGATAAGCAAAGATGAAAAAGAAATGTTTGAATGACCTCTCTGATTTTCCTAGGAAGCAATGGAATTGTCATGGTAACACAAGAGATCTAAAAGACCTCACTCCCATGTGTTTTCACACTGCCAAAAGAATTGCACTATTAAGGGCTTTGTGTCAACATTTCCTTTTATTTTTAATTTTTTTTTCAAGACAGGGTTTCTCTGTTTAACAGTGCCCTGGCTGTCCTGGAACTCACTTTTTAGATCAAGTTGACCTCAAACTAACAAATATCCACCTGGCTCTGCATCCCAGGTGCTGGGATTAAAGGTGTGCACCACCACTGCCTGGCTCTTTTTCTTTTTTAGTTGAAAATTTTTTATACAATATATTTCAATCATATTCTTAACCCCCCAAACACTTTTTTCTTCAATGGTTTGGATTATAGGGGTGTAAGACCCTCACCCTCGGGTCTTAGTTCCAGGGAGAAGCCCCGCAACTCAATTAACCAGTCCAGCAGATGCAACAAGCAAGAGGATTTAGTAACAATTGAGCAACCAGGTGCTTCTGGTCTCCGAGGAGGCAGAGCACCCTGAACAATAATTCCAGCAAGCTTTTATAGGCAAAACCCACAACATTAGCTTATCAGATATGGGTTACAACCTGATTGGACATCACGTTTTTATTTTTACCACATTAGCATAAGGGTCAACCTTAGGACATAGTTTGTTCCAACCGGTTCTCGGGAAAACCCCAAGATGTTTTTTGAGCCAGGCAGGACATGCATGGGTGGGGGAATGAGGAACCTGTCCAGGTGCTTGGGGCTCAAGGGAAATTCTCCTTTTCCCAATTTATTTTCTTCATTCCCTCCTTTTCTTATGTCCCTAGTTTTAATCTTAAAACTTAGGGTTCTGACTCCTGCTGTTTCAACATCTGATATTGTTGTGTAAGCCCTAAAGTCTGAACTATAGACAAGCGATCTTTAATGAATTGCAGCAAGCGATTTAAAATACAAGGCCTAAAAGTAAACAGAAGTAAAAGTATTAATAAAGGCCCCATGACAGTGGAGATTAGGGTAGTCATCCAGGGTGACCTACTGTACCAGCCTTCAAACCAGTTCTGTTGTGCTGCCCTATCCTTTTGACGTTGGTTCAGCCTCTCTCTTAATTTTGTCATGGAGTCTGTTATTACTCCAGCATGGTCAGCATAAAAACAACATTCTTCCCCCAGTGCAGCGCAAAGGCCTTTCTCCTTTAAAAATAAATCTAAACCCCTTCTATTTTGGAGCACGACTTCAGACAAGGAGGCGAGGGATTTCTCTAGCAAGGATATGGAGTTCTCAATTGCCAGGAGATCTGTGTCTATAGCGAGTTGTAACTGGGTTAATTGTTGGTTCCCTTGTATAAGGGCAGTTGTTCCTGTTCCTATCCCCGCCGCTGCCCCTCCCAGTCCCAGCAGAACAGCCAGGGTTAGGGACAAGGGTTCTCTTTTCTGTCTATGCCTCCCCTTGAGGGTTTCTAGCAGGTCATCCTCCAAATGGTAGAGGATATGAGGCATTACCTGGGTTAACACACAGAAGTCCTTAGGTTCATGACTGTAGCTGACACACAGGGAGTAAGCCCGGTATTCCATGCCCACCATGTGTCATTAGGAGGAACCAGATAGTAGTTCCTGGGACTTACTGAAATGGTTTGGTTGCATAGAGGCTGGTGACTACTTGGAACTGTCCCTATAATAACCCTTGGCCTCCTACCTGTGGTAAAGTGAGCTTGTGTAAGCTGGGGTTTTTACATATCTCTGGGAGAGTGGTCGAATTAGTAATCTCTCCAGATGTGGCTGGTCCTTCATAATAAGGGGGACTAGAGGCTAGGCATAGCCAACAAGCCTGAGTAGCTTCTGGGTTAGTCCCATTGAGGGCCGTGAAAGCTCCCTCTACCAGATGCATTAGCCTGTCTCCCCAACCAGGGGGTCAGTAGGGGTAAGTGAGGATGACGCAGGTGCTAGAGGGATTTGCCTGGACGCCTGGGGGGCCTTGTTCTGGATTTTTGTTGGTCCTTTTAAATTGAGCAGGACTGGGTTGGGGCCAATGGCTTGGGCACTAATGGTGGCTATATTAAGTCTTATCTGGAAGGTAAATCCTTTATCCCATCCTGTCATGTAAAATCAAAGCCCCCATGTCCGACCTGTGGGCCAATTTGCAAACTTTCATCCTTGTTGGGTAAAAGTTATGTTAAAGGAATCTTCTCCCTTGTTTCCTCTAGTTAAAGTGATTAGGCCCCATGAGGATGAAGGACATCAATAGGTGTCCCCAGTAGTTTCACAGGACCATTGTTTGCAATAGAGACTCTCTGGTCCTCCACAACGATATGCCTGATTTTTGTTTCTCTCATCTCGGGGACATACATAGAAAGATGTCTGTTGTAGTTTCCTTTTGGCCGGTTTGTCTTTACAGCCAGGATCTGCTCTAACATATTGGCCTTGGGAGGTGACGCCCTGATCTGGGGAGCATTTCATGACATGTAATGCATCATCTGAGGTTGGCCTGTCGTTATGTTAGACTGGGAATGTCCCATGTCTCTAATCCTGTCATCAGGTCACAAATTTTGGGGTATAGGTGAGGCCACCAAGTGTTAGGAGGGTATGAGCCTGTAATGGACCAGACGATATCTCCCGTTTGGGAGAGGACCTGCCAGGTAAGTTGTTTAGGGGTGTGTGGGCTATTTCCCTTGGTCTTACAGATCAAAGGCATCAAGAATAAAAGTATGAATATAAGGTTTACACGATTCGCATGAGTCTTAGCTTTAGGGGGTTTTGAGTGCGTTGAAGTCTCCATATCTGCTCTGGTGTCTCTCCGTGTTCTGGGCTAGGTACAGCCTTCACATTGGAACCATGTATCCATACAGCAACCCTGTCCACCTTCAACGCGGTTGGAGTCATCAGGAGTACGGTGTAGGGTCCTTTCCAGCGAGGTTAGAGAGTCTTGGTCTGGTATCTTAGCACCAGGACTGAGTAGCCAATCTTGAAGGGATAGGGGCAAGAAGGAAGGTTGTTCTCGCAATAAGCGTCAGAAAGGGGCTTTGAAATTTCCTGTTGGACCAGCTACAGAGCTTGCAGATGGGCCTGCATGGTAGAGGAGGTGGCATAAACAGAAACATCAGAATCAAAGAAGGATATGGCTGGCGGAGGACTTCCATAAATGATTTCGAAGGGGGTGAGCCCATGTGAGTCAGGGGAATTTCTGGCTCTGTACAGGGCCAATGGTAGGAGTTGAACCCAGTCTCTAGTGCCAATCTCCAGCATTAATTTGGTAAAGGTCTCTTTAATTGTTCTATTCATCCTTTCCACCTGACCTGAACTTTGGGGTCTGTAAGGACAATGTAATCTCCAATTAATCCCCAGTAACTTGGCCACCAACTGACTTACCTGGGAGATAAAGGCTGGGCCGTTATCTGACCCAAATACCTTAGGTAGACTGAACCAGGGAAAGACTTCTTCCAAAAGTTTCTTGACCACAACTTGAGCAGTCTCTTTCTTGGTGGGAAAGGTGTCTATGAATACTAGCAGATATTTGTTATTGTATGATGTAGGTGGGTCTTCTATCTATCTATTGTTTCATTGGTTAATTAATAAAGAAAACTGCTTGGCCTAATAGGTCAGAATATAGGTTGGCGGGGAAGACAGAACAGGATTCTGGGAGAAAGAAAGCTGAGTCAAGCAGACAGATATAGCTCTCCTCTCCAAGATGGACGCAGGTTAAGATCCTTCCTGGTAAGCCACCACCTCATGGTGCTACACTCATTAATAGAAATGGGTTAATCAAGATGTGAGAGTTAGCCAATAAGAGGCTACAGATAACGGGCCAGGCAGTGTTTAAAAGAATATGGTTTCCGTGTAGTTATTTGGGGTAAAGCTAGCTGGGTGGCGGGACGCAGCCTGCAGTTCTTCTACACAGAAGAAGAAGCAGACAGATCTCTGTAAGTTCCATGACAGGTAGGAATACATAGAGAGACTCTGTCTCAAAAACAACAAAAAGAAAATATTGCCATTCATGAGTGAACTTGGAGGATAGTATGCTAAGAAAAACAAACCAAAAACTAAAAGTACTACGTCAGCCAAACATGGCCATGGACCACAGAAAATTGAGAATTAGAGGCCAGCCTAAGTTTCACAGCAAGAATCTAAAAGAAAATACTAAAATCAAAATTAAAATACTTCACCATCTTTGGTGTATAGTGTTGGTTGGCTGACTGATTGGGGTGGTGCTGGGGAGTCAACCCAGGGCCTGTGCGTGCTAAGCAAACACTCTGCCACTGAGCAGCTCCACTTCCTGGCAGAAACCCTTAAAATTCCAATACATAGGGAATACAAAAGTCGATAGCAGGGGCTGGAGCTACCTGTGGCACACCGGTTAAGAGTACTTACTGCTCTTCCAGAGGACCTGGGTTTGATTTCCAGAACCCACATGACAACTCACAACCATCTGTAATTCTGATTCCAGGGGATCCGACACGTATACAAAAAAACAATTACAGAGGTCTCAGGGGTAGCCTCTTGGAAGGGCCAGGTTGGCCAACTAAGCTGACATCTGGGTACAGACCCAGCAATCAGACCCAGTCCACCTCAACATCTACTCTATCTATGAACTACTGGAGCGCAGGGAGGAGCTGGTCCTCAGAATCCGATCAGGGAGCCTGTTATTGCCATTAACATGAAAACCTGAAGCAACAGCCGCTGACACCCACCGTGTGGCTCAGCACTGAGAAACCTGAGAGACCCTTGGAGGCTCCAAGGGAAGACAAGGAGGAAGTCTGCAGAGCCCGCAGTGTCCCCAGAACAAGTAGAGAAGGGCAGGTCCTATGGGAAGATGCTTTCCGAAAGCGGATTCACAGTGTTGGAGGAAAGAAGGGGGAACAGAGCCACGTGTGCAGCAGAGAATGGCGGAACTACAGACGCAATGACGAGTATGGGAGTGATATGGGAGCATGGCCACCGCAGACACGATGGTGTCCATGATCCATGCTGTGAGCAGAGGCCACGTGGATGTCTATAGTCTGTGCTCCCCCTGGAGGCCATGCTGATGTCCGAGGTCCCTGTTGCCACTGCCGACCATGACTGTTGTTCTCAGTCTGTGCTGCTGCCAGAGGCCATGTTTCTTTTCTCTATCCAAAAATGTCCCTTGTGTCTCTCTTGGTTCCTTCTAACTCTCTTAATGTTTTTTTCGACTCTCTCATCCTTGATGATTTCTTTCTAGATCTATCTTTATTCTTCCTTACTCTCTGTCTTTATTTTTCCTCTACAGATTATATAACTCGACAAGTCAGGCAATATAGAAATTCCACTGTGGTTACATTCTGCTTTTCAAGTGAATGATTATAATGATTACATTATAAAAATTATTTTCATCTTTTACATGATTAAAACAATAACATCCTAAGAACCCACATACATTTACATGTAAGTAACTTGTTACAGATTAACATAAGCAAGATATTCTTCTCAGGTCTTTTACTGGCAGGCTGTGTTTTTGCCGTTACAAAGAAAGGACCCAATCACTTTCTTACTTACCTTGAAAGGTAATCTTACAAGGACTCACAACCTAAACTTTTATACATGAAAAATAATCAGTCAGCTCTACTTTAAATCTTTAGTGTGTATACCCACTCATGAACAGTTTTTGTATCTTGAGATTGAGGGCAGAAATGGGTATAAGGAATTAATAATCACCTTTGGTCATCAACCAATCTTAGCAAGAAAGGTGTGTCAGACAGTGATAATTGGACTGCTTTTTTCTTGTTCCCCGACCTTAAAGAGTTCCTCGCTCTGTGCCTCTCTATAACTTTAGAATGTCTTCTTGGACATTGCACCTCAATGCTACTTAACAAAACATCTTAGTCTAACCTTAAGTTATTTTCAAAGCATTGTTTCAGCTATGATGCATCCTTAAACCTGTGAACACATCTTCCAACACTAAGGTTAAAAGGATTTAAGCTAGCTGAACTACTAAAACTTAGTTGTTTTTCTTAATTATTAACCTAAGCCACGGTAGATATGGTTCCTCAGCAGAAACTCATGTGTTCTAGCTATGTGATACTCCCTTGTTCCCCCCTTTCTTTCTTTTTAGTTTTTTTGAGACAGGGTTTCTCTGTGTAGTTTTTGGCTGTCCCAGAAATTGCTCTGTAGACTGAGCTGGCCTCAAACTCACAGACATCTTCATGCTTCTGCCTCTTGAGTGCTGGGATTAAAGGTTTGCACCACTACCACCCAGTTCCTTGTTCTTATTTTCAATCATTAAAACTCTATGTACACTAACACTATTATTATCAATTAGACAGTGCAACTAAGAAGAAATCATCTTTATAACAATCCACAGGTAAAAATGCCCAGTAGAACGGGATATTTCCATGAGATAAACACTACCTTACAGGTAGTAGGATCTCCCCACACCCATTCATACCATGGCACATACCAGAGAAAGTTGGTAGCAGCAAACATGTAAAGGCACAGAAGAAGCAAAAATCATTCTGGAGTCTGTGGTCTCTGGGCATTTCCCATCCGAGATTCACCCATCAGGGATTCCCCTACTGGTGGGCTGAAACCTGGCACTTCAGTTGCCACCTGCTGCTCCTCTGACATGCCTATGGCACGTTTCCATGCACTTTTGCATGTACATATTCTATGTATCTCAGCTTGCTTCATAAGAGCAAATGGCTGCCATGAAGGAACAAGTATCTCTCAGGCCTAAGATTGGAACTCAGAACTGACTTTCTAGAATACCACTTAGAATAAGTTGTCATAGCTATGACCGTGCTATCAGATTTAATACTGATTTGGAATTCTATGAAGATTGATTTTGGAGATAATTGCAAAAACTAACCAAGGAACTGAGTCATCAAACATATGAATTCATTTGATCTGGCCCTGGGAAGAAAGATGATTTTCCTTTTAACCCAAAACTCCTAAAATAAACTCAAAAGTTCTTTTTTATTTAAAGATTTGTTTTACTATTAATTTCATCTATATGGAGCGGAGGGGTTATGCACCTGAGCAGATCTACTGTGAGCCCAGAAGGGGGCATTAAATCCTTGTAGCTGTAGTTTAGGCAATTGGAAGCTGCCCAAGGTGGATGCTGGGAACTAAACTCTGGTCTTTTGCAAGAGCACTAAACTCTTAATAATGGAACTATTTCTTCATCCCCAGTCCAAGTTTCTTCCTTTTCACACATATTACTATATACAACATGTAATGCATGTTACTATTTACCTCATACATATGTACTCTGTTTTCTCTCAGTTCAAATACAACAGAGGAAATGACATTTATTTTATTAGATCTTCATTTAGCCATGATGCAGTAGAAACTCACCAAGCATTCTTTAAGCATGGTTTACATAGTTCTCCACTAATTTTCTATGAATTCTGGCAACTTTGTTGGGATATTCTCTTTTTTGTTTTGTTTTGGAGACAGGGTTTCTCTGTATAACAGCCTTGGCTGTACTGGTACTCTCCTTGCAGACCAGTTTGGTCCCAAACTCACAGAGATCTGCCAGCCTCTGCCTCCCAAGTCCTGTACTACAAGCTGCAACATTTTACGGTAAGTACTCAGCCATCTTTTCATGAAGCAACTCAACAGAGCCAAGGGTTTTGTTTGAAGCTTAACCAAGATGCAAGGCATGTTGGTATTATTGCCTTATGGAATAAAGTGGTTCTTTCTTGCTGTAAGATTTCTTACTATAGCTACTCCCCAGCTCAATCTCTCAATTTTTGTTTTTCTCAAATATTTAAATATCAAAATCTTGAAGGAAGTCAAATTTCTTATTATTCTCTCACTTCCCATATATCAGAGCCCTATGATCAAACTAAGGAGATGATCTCCTTATACATCTCAACAATAATGCTATCTCAGGACTGTATGAAGCATAATTGAATAAATAATTGTACTTATAGTTACTTTGCATTTTATAGTTGATTATTTAAAAAAATATTTTCTCCTGATACAGATTATTTTAACCACACTACCAGTGAATAAAGAGGAACTTTCTAATGAAGAAAGCATCCTGGAATAGAGAGATGGTTCAGTGGTTAAGAGCATTGGTTGCTCTTCCAGAGGGCAGGAGTTCAGTTCCCAATACCCACATGGCAGAGCACAACTGACTATAACTCCAGTTCCAGGGGATCTTGATGGGCTTATTCAGGCCATCAAGCAGGCATATGATTGTGGTTGCTCCTTTGCTTCTATGGTCTTTCAACTTTTACCTCAATATCTGACTCTGGGTTTTTAATTGATGAGATAAATTAGTATCACACTTCATCTGCCACCCAACATTTGGGGCATGAATTCACAAAAAAAGCCACTTGCTTGTGGCTTTTGCAGACACTGGCACAGCCTAGAGTCACACACAGCTAGAGTCATTGCCCTGCCATCCAGGTTTCCCCCCCAAAGCCTCTGAACAAGTCTGTGGTTTATCTGTTGCAGCCTCTCTGTAGTAAACTGCACAGGTGCTCGGGCTCCAAATGCTGCCAGAGTTAGCCCTGCACCACTGGCCAGTTCTGGCTACATGTACTTCTTCCCCATGATGCTCTGTGTGTGTTTTCCAGACAGCAGGTTCCCTCTTCCAGTAGGCTGTGAGTTTTCTCTGGACCCCTCCTGGGGCTGCTGCCAAACTAGGTCGCTGCCTTGGCACCCACTCAGGCTTCTACTGTTCTAGCAGCAGTCAGCCTCACAATGTAGGTGGAAGCTGCTTGTTCATTTCCTGGCTACCCAGACTCGAATAATGACACAGGAACTTTATTAATTACAACACTGTTTGGCCAGTGATTCTATATTCCTAGCTAGCTCTTGCATCTTAATTTAGCTCATTTCTATCAATCTGTGTATTGTCA